GACAGCAACTTGTCTGTCCCCCTTCCCCCAATTCCCCAGCACTGTTCCCATCCCCCCAATTCACCAATAAAAATCTTTTAAAAAAACAAAAAACAAAACAAAACAAAAAACCTTACACACATCAGTTCTACAGTAAAGGCTCTCATCCCAGTGTTATACAGATGACAGATAACAGTACAGATGCAGGGCCCCTGCTTTGCTGTTCCAGGTGTGGTGAACACCTTTCACCTGGTCCTCATAACTGAAGCCTCACAACCTCAATTTTTTTCATGTTCAAGCACCCCAGCATACTAAACAGCCTCCCAGTGCGTGGAACCTGTGCAGACCAGATCTGGAGTCACTCCACTCGCCCCCAGCACCTTCACCACTGGACAGATGGCATACTGCTCTAGGGCCAGAGGGTGCCTCCGGAAAGACGGACACTCCGTAACACAGCAAGCACAGCAGAGGAGGCGGGCCACGGCACCAGTGAGATCTGAGTACCAGCTGCTTCCATCCAGGCCCTTGGCACAGTGTGGTCACCTGGGGGCCATAAGACTACCCTCGCTGTAAACGTACACCGTCACCACACAGGTGTGGCTCATGGTGGGCTCCATGCCTTTGTAGAAAGCACACTGCACAGGTACCTGTGCTCCTTAGGCCGATTCGTGCTGACACACACAGCTTGGCTTCTTCATTCCTGTTGTGGAGAGAACCTCCCCACACTGCCCAGCAGTCTGCCCAGCAGCCACACAACAGGCCCTGCCCTTAGTCCCTGGGGGCTCAGGCCTTCGAGCTGAGTTCGGGGACACTGAGTGCAGCGTGGCTCTACCTGAGTGCCGGCGGCTTTTGGACCAAACATCTACCTCAAGAGCAGCTTGCTCCATGACAGTTGAGCTCCAGAGTTGGGAGCACACTAGGCCGTGTGGAGAAAGAGGATTTCATGGCTCACAGCCATGACTGCTTCACACACTAGTCCCCATCCTGCCATGGGTCAGGGGTTCGCCCTGCAGAGGCTTGGCCCAGCAGCTGAGGCCTGAGGGCTAAATGAAAAAGTGACCTCCAGGAAGGGGCTAAAGGTGATGTCAAGTACAGGAGGGGGTGGCTGCCCTTCAGGCTCAGCCCCACACCCTCTGACAGGGAGGTGCAGCTAGTAGTCCCCCACACATACACACAGCCCCTCTTACAGTTCGGAAACCCTTGGGCCCAACTGTCTAACATGGAAGGAAGTCGGTGTTCTTCTCCCAGGGCAGCACCCCGACTGAACACAGTGCAGCTGCTGGAAGGACACAGCTTATCCCCCAGCTAGGGGCACGTCCCAAAGCCAGGAGGCCTCCTGGGCTGGTCCTGAAGCAACAGTGGTGGCAGCATGCCTGGCCCTAAATAGGCCAGAAGTCTGAGACTCCCAAGGCCACACATTTTAGTTGGCTCCTGAGAAGGAGCCAATGGGCTGGCAGTCTGGCCTGGACAGTGGCTTCCCTGGGACACCTCTATTTGGAGAGAG